CTCCCCTCCCCACCACCAGCTCCCACCACCAGCAACCACAAGGACACCGGGTGTCCTCCAGGACCGCCCTGGTGCAGGGAGGAAGAAAGAGACGACCGCCACCAGCGTTTGGAAGCCTCTTTAATAGCAAGCGCATGGTAATTACATCGTTGGATGAGATCCCCTCTCTCGGGAGAAAGGAACAGATGTGGACAGGGTTCGGGTTCGGTTTCGGATTCACACTGCTGGAAGCGTCTAATGAAGGGTAACAATTTTTGGCAACCCATTTCACAGTTTTGTCATTTACAAGAGATTTCTTTGAAAGGAAATATAAAGGCAAAGAAAGCATAAACACCCTGCATGACACTTTTTTCCCCCCTAAGAAAAACTCACCGAAACGGTTCCTCACTTTTGCTTCTCTAATTAGATGGCCCAACTGCTTTCACACACAGTCTCAGATTCGCTTTAGAACTGATGACTTACTTTCTCCCCTACAAAGCTGATGCGCGTACAGGGTGCTGCTCCCTGTCTTCCCCTGCGTGGCTACCAGGAGGTACTTAAAGTAAAAAATACATCTTAAGAAATAGAAACGAAACAAAAGGAGAGACCAGGGAACGGCAGTTTTACAAAGAACAGACTGTCAGCGTTCTCTGCGGTACCCAAGCACTTGAATACACAGTTCTCAGTAAATGTTTATTTTCCAGTGGCCTGGTGCCCACTTTTAATTGCTCATGTCTCCTCAGCCTTACAATGCTTTCAATGGGCTTTCTAACGCAAAATGTTCACAGGTCCTCTATTTCTGTAATCCAAATTTAAAAAAATATCAAAGACAACATATTATTTGACAGTTTGCCCAATGAATGTGAGCTGTCGCTATTTTACTGTGGGCACCACGTTGCCATGGACACCAGAAGCTACTGGCATCCTGGCAAGTTTTAGAATTATTCTGCATAAATCCAAGACTTCAGCCTTTCATGTTATACCTGGTATCCCAAAACCAAGATAACTGATAGCATCTTTATGGAAGAAGATTTGTTTTTAATTCAAAGTAACTGTAGGCTTCTCTGGTCATCTGAAGACTAAGCAGTTGGCAATAACATCTGGAGGTGACACTCTAGGGGAGAAAGACCTGGGACCCATTTGAGTTTTAATTGTGCTCTTTCTACAACCCTGGAGCTCGGTGGAGTAGGTGGGCTTTGCCCTTGGGGCCACAGGAGGGGCATTCCTGAGCCAGGGTCCCCTCTGCAGCTGGCAGCAAGATCAAGTTCGGTTCACAGTCAGCCTGGCATGTGACTGGCGCCTTATATCTGTTAGCATTTTGGAAAGACAGGCTTCTCTGGCTGAGAGCTGGCTTATCCAGGACAAGGACTCCACCAGACACCCACTGTCTCCCTGGCTGGGGGGATTTTCAAAGCCACAAAACCATTCCCAACATGGGTCTTGCCTCTCAACACGCAATGTGAGCTCCCGTTGGGACAGCATGGAAAGAGCTCTCCTGGACCTCACATAACCACCTCTTGGCTTTTTATTTATTTTCTCCTAAAGAATGGGGCCCTAATTCTCCCACTTACTCTCCCTTACTCATCTGCTCCTGCCAGACTCAAGTCCTGCTTACTCCTGTGTACCTCCCAAGTCATGGGAAATCAGATCGAACCGACACCACAGTCTCCCAACTTGTCCATTTTCACCTGCAGGGCAGAGCCTGACGATGCTCTGGCATCAGAGTTCCCAGGGCCACACACTCTGTGCTCTTATGAAACAGAAATGATATTTGGGGACATGATTGGGCCAGAGAATGGTTTCTGTTCACCTGAGAACAATGACAGTGACTACGAGAGGAGAGAGGTTTTCACTTAAGTACATGGGGACCTAATTCTGGCACCAGGTCACAAGGAGAACCCTAAGGAGGAAACTACTCCTGTTCTAGTCATCGGAGAAGAGAAAACATGACATGCTGCTCTGAGCCTGGGGGACTGGAGCGGACAGCTTGGTGTAACTGAACCTAGAGTGTAGCAGGTGCTGTGTGGGGGCCTTGCCTCCTCCCCTGCCCTCCCGGGCTCCATAATTCACTCTCCAATTCCCCAAAGTCTGCTCAGTATGATTAGCACACAGAAAAAAGTAACCAGTAGCTATCAGGAAAACATCTCTGTGATTCACTCAAACCCAGGATCAAGGTTTGGTAAGATTATCGTAGGCGTGATTTCACAGCTGGCGGGGAGCGATCGACAAGCAATCATTCCCTGTTCACACACCTACACACACACATACCCCTCCCCCCCCCCGATGAGATGG